CCCCTTTGTGTATTCAAAAGCAGTTTGTTCTCATCTTAAATCTACCCCGGTAATATTAGCCTATTATCCAGAATGATGAGGTTTAAAATTGCTTTCACATTATTTACTTGATTATCAATGTCTCCTCGTATCCTCTATTTCTCGTCTAGTTGACCTTTTATTTTTATATATAAATGTTTTAACAAGTATATATGTGATCAGATTGTTCGAACTGTATTGCACTATTATGTATCACTTAGTTCTGATAATCTTCATCTTCTTGCTACACTATCGAAATTTATAAAAGGGACTAACTGCTTTAAATTATACATATGATCAGCTTAAAAAATAAGGAATCAAAAATTCCTAAACTCATTTCCATAAAAGCAGTCTTGATATTTGTCAAGTTATAACCAAACCACATACTAAATTCAACATTATTAAACATATCGTTAAATAATACTAACTATATGGAATTTTTCACTTAATTAATTTTGTTAAAGTCGTTTAAAGAGTTAAGATTGGAATTTTGTATTTCTATAGTAACTATTTTGCGATAATCAATGATGAAAGATAAGAATACATGAATTCTAGAAGTGAAATATTCGTTCGCTCGGTACATCATCTGGTTTATCATCTAAATCAAGCCTATTTACTGGATAACTTTTCTCATTGTATTTTGTTTTAAAATTACTATCTACTTTCTCTTATTATCCACATTATTTATGTGAAGGATAGGAATTTCGTTTGTTCAAATGTCAGTTTATTTATGTATATAAGTTAAATTTAATACATTTTAACCTTTCAGTTCATAGAAATGAAAGAATTGTGTTGTTAAACTGACCGACTAGAAAGATAAATGACCTACCGCTATAAATAATTCCTATGAATGAATTTTTCGCTATTGTTATTCACCTTAGTTTACCAAAAACACAATGTGAATATCTTAAAATTAATACGAAAACGCAAGAGTCCTGTTAAATGTACCAAAGTCTACCGTGTTTGAACGTATATTTTATATTATATTTTTACGATAGGTACATGTATACGTGCATAAATGTTGACAGGAAAAGTTTGCGAATTGTCTCTGTCATCAATTTAAAAATAAAAATAAAAATAGCTATTTTATCCGTGAATATTTTTTACTGGTCTTCTTCATTTACTTTGCCAGCTTTATCAGTGTAGAAAATGTTAACTAATCCGCTCTTGATAAACAAATCTAGTTTAGTTTTAGGAAAATAAAGACATTTACTCATAGATGAACCATTTCACCAACAGATTCAAGCATAACGTATAATATTTATATTGCCATTCTCTTTTTCACATTAAGAAGAAAGATAGCTCCTGAGTTTTAGTAAATAATGTTTGTAGGTAAGCCAAATAACTTGGTTAAGATAAGAAGATTGCAATGTATTCAGCAATGAATAACATTTAAAACAATTGCTGGACTGATACAAATATTGAAACTAAATATTCCATGATCAAATATCTTAGCCACTTTGTTTGATTGATTTACGCAGCATCATACATCATGGTCGATTTATTTTAATTCAGAAATAATAAATTAGTTGGACTAAACGTTACACTGCCTATTTAGCCATTAACGGTATCACTAAGTTGAATTAACGTTCGTCTGTACAGAAGCATATAAGTAAATTATTTATTATAAGCAACTCTCATTAGGATTGGAAATGTGTAAGCTAATCGTTTAATTTTTTGAGAAATTATCCATCAGACTTATATGATGTACATTTTAAAACAAAACTATAGGTACACTACTTCAGTTGTGAATACTTTATGCTGAAATAGTTATTTATTGAGTATTTTCCTTGATCATTTGTTAAAATAGACATACATTTAATGTAATCTTCCAATAGATTGCTCCTGTGTAATAGAGATATGTATCTACTTAACCTGATATACAAAATATACCGTTTGAACTTGTCAAAACTAGTTTGCATAAACATTCAATGAAAAATGATATTATAAATTTTGAAATGGAAAGTTTATCTTGCCCACCTTCTCATGGTAACCACAATAATGATGAAAAATGATCGCATTTTAAATCACTTTTTTTTTAAACTCACTTTTGTCATATCGTAATTCTGACTTAGTATTAAATTAGTGCTCAATTTGTTGTTTAGTGATATTCTAAAGGTGAAAGTTGGTCAAGACATTATATTTGTTCTTCTTCTCATTATTATATTAGAGACCATTTGTAAATATTTGATAATTTTTGAGTTTATTTTTATATAAACTAATCGAGCTGGATTGTCGCTATGTTGTTGTTGTTGTTGTTGTTGGCTTTTTTATTAAAACAATCAACTAATTAACCTTGAAATCGGGCATTTTCCATGTTCTTAAGATACTTACTAATGAAAATAAAGTATTCATTATGGTTGTAAAAGTGTCAAATGTCAAAGTAATGTAAGTAATTGATCGGTGAGACTGATTTATGGATGACATTTGAGCGACGTTGGAGTGACCTTGATAGTGTCCACCTAATAACCAGGACTAAATGACGGTTATAAACCAGGGTGAGAAATTAGAATTATGAGTTACAGTTGATGGTTAAGGTTAGGAATTAGATATAGGGTTTTCATCACAAACTGACATCAGTTATAATCCCAAAACTCCATTTAACCAAAATCCGAGACCTGTCATGTTATACCTGATTGCTTCGTCCATAAATTATAGTCTCGCCGACTTAAATTTTGACACCAACAAAAAAATTTAAAAAAACTTCAATGCACATTTGATTGTATTAACAAGATTCTTTCGTTAAATGTTAAATGGCAAAACAAAATTTACAAACAAGTTTTTATTCAAAAAAACAGAAGTACATTTAGTGAATTCTCTTGGATTTTATGTTCGAAACGATTTTGTTAATTTAATGGTTGTCATATATCGAGAAGTTAGCTACGAGTAAAATGTTTCCAGGTCAAATTAATTAATTTTTTTTCAAATAGCCTTGAACTGAAAATGAATTTAGTGCGTATTGATGATAAACAATCATTACATACAAACTTTATTAAAAAGGGAGTCTTGTTGAGATTGTAGTAATTTGATCGTCGAATTCATAAGTCGATTAAAAGTAGACTACTATGAAAAATTTGGAAGCACTGGACGGCTCATGAGTTAAATTACTACAATTTCCACAACACCTCTTTCTGATAATAATCATCATGTGTTCAGTAGTGACTAGCTTCAAGAGGTATTTCCTGAAGTTCTAATGAGAAGCCGTGACCAGTGGAATTCAACCGTGTCTGTTGTGAGATATTAACTCACTGAAGATAGTGGTGAACGGTCTCATAATATCGTGGATTGGTTGAAAATAAACATCAACATCGTTGGAAAGCGGCTCAGGGGTCTAGTGATTTAGGGTTCGCGAGCAAGACTGAGTCCCTGGTTCAAATCCTGCGGGCGGGATCATAAGTGCTCACTACTGAGGTGCCCCATACTAGGGCGAAACAGTCGTCCATTGCTTCCAGGTTTTCCATGATGATCTTGCTTTAATTGACTAATGAATTCAACTATTAAATTATTTACTTTTGTTAGTGTTTTTTCCTTTAGGAATATTTACATATTATTAAAAATTATGAAGCAGAAGTTGACTAGTTTAGCCCTAAACTTAATATTACTCAAAATTAGATGATTTTATATTCATTAGACTGAAAGATTTAATAACAAATAACATCAGACTTAACAACAATCCTTCGATTAAGTCATTGTAATCGATGTAAAACAACACTCTTCCCTGTTAAGAAATGAAGTCCAATATCTATCCATTACTTAAAAGTTGATGAAAGATAATAAAAACTAAATCTTAAACAGGAGATCTGTGTTTCTGTATAGTAATTAGCTTTTGCGGAAAAAAGCTTACTAAAAGAATATATCCTTTTTCAAATATTGAAATGGAAGATATTTCTAAACGGTAATCAAAAATATGACAGACAAAACTGGATGCTCAACATGAAACCTAAATATATAAATCGGTTTGCCATCAAATTATAATTACGGATACATCATGTTTTTGATTTTAAATCAAGGTTTGCTAATCAAACAATCCAATGCCATATTTGTCAGTGTTATTAAGCATAAAAATCCACTTCACTGTTTTTTGTCGACTGTTTTCAGACAATAAGTGGATTGATTTTGATTACATAAAATATTTTTTCTTGAAAAATTAAACTTATATTAGTGTTTCAGGTTACAGCACTCTCACAACTAGAAACCGGTTTATTTATGTAAACATCAGAATCAAGGTCAGATTTGAAGATTTCAAATAAATTATTCATGAAGTGGATTGTCAATAACACAAAATGATACACTTTTAATATCCAGATGAATAGGAAATTCCATGTCAATAACATTTACGATAAATGAATTAAGCATAGACAATTAGTTGTCTGTAATTGAAATTCATTAATAACAAACACTTGTATCAAGTTGTAAATAAAATGATAACAACTACTATTCACTAAGTTTTTAGCCAGGTAATTATATTTCAGTAGGATTATTTAGTTATTAGTAATTACTAGTCTCACTAGTGGCTGGCTTCAAGAGGTATATACTGGAGTTCTAGTGGGAAGCAGTGACCAGTGAAGTTCAACCGTGTCTCTTATGAGATAGTAACTCACTGATGACGATAGTGGATGTGGATTAGTTGAAGTTAGACATTTACACCGTTGGATACCGGCAGGCTCAGTGGTGTAGTAGTTAAGCGCTCGCGCCCAAGACTGATAGGCCCTTGGTTCGAATTCCAAGAGGCGGTGTCGTGGGTGCGCACTACCGAGGAGTCCCACAATAGGATGAAACGTCCATCCAGTGCTTCCACTTTTTCCATGGTGGTCTGACTTCAACTGACTCATGATCTCAACTAATGATATTAATTATAAGTTGACTAGAGAAAAAGAAGGTTCCCAAAAGATGTCAATAAAAAAGTAATTCACAATGAAAAAAATAATAAAATGTATTTAGATAGATTAAAAGACATTGATGAAAACCAATCATTCACTTACCTTGTACTGTTAAGACTGCTGTTTGACTTAGATATTGTTGTCGCATAAAATTCACTTGACATACATACGAACCTTCATCTGATAGTTCTACATTCATTATTTGTAGATCATATTGTCCTAAAGAAATAGAATAAATATCATTGTGAAGGTTAAAAGTATTAGTTGATACAGTGATATACATAGCTGTAAATCACTGAATTAATTTATAGTCCTAATATACTTTGAGTATATAATATTATCAAGCTAACTACAAAATTAACAATCTGGAATTAGATACTAGATAATTGTGAATATTAAGAACATTATTTTTTTACTTGTATACAATAAAATTAAATTACTGATATGTCTTTTATGTAATTACTTCTGTGTAAACTTACATCAATAGTATAGTTTAGCCAGTACTTATTATATGTACGATACATAATGAAATTCATGAATGTACTTCTCTTTGTAAAAAATGTTATTCAAAGTTAGTGTATAGATGATGTCTAGAAAGAATGATGAATGCTATGGAATTCAATAATCCAGCTAAGTAAATGCACCATCATCTAAATAAAAATTTCCCAATTTTTAATTTATCATATCTTCAAGAATTATTTGTGATAGCAATAAACTTTTAATTGATTAAACAGATATTTTAAAAGAAACAAAATACTACTTGAAGTAACAATCATAATTTTACAATCCATATTGGATGGACTTCATTTCAAGATATGTTTTACAGAATATATATTTTAGTCACTAACTTCTAGTCTTAGCCATGTTAGTAGATGCAGACGACTTGGTTGGGGTCGATGCTACTATCGTAATCAATGATTGGAGACTCTGGGTGGAATGGCTTAGAATCGATAACAATGGCGTAGGCGTATACACTTTTCGCTTTATATCTCTATTTCTACGAATTAATTCTTCCTCCCGTAATATGTAATCATTCTTTTATATATTACTACCATTAAAGTAACTGCTTCTATGAATTTGTTGTTCATCCTGTTGTGTTAATGAGGTGTGGCAACTTGGATTGATGCATACATGTGCCTGATCATACGTTGTAACTGACTGACTTACTGACTTAGTTATAAAATATATTTCATGATTGAATCATTCTAAGCTATTAAAATTCATTAATACCGATCTGTCCAAATTTTAGTCTGGATTAATTTTTCTATTTCTTAACTAGGTATTAAAAAAATGCTGTAGTAATCCAAAAGGGAGGGTACTTTTCATTACGAAATAAATAGAAGTTATAGAGTTTTTTATTTATTTAGAATTCATGTAGAGGTAAACAAATAAAAGAATGTACATAGTAATAAAAGTATTTACATATAACAAAGTTTATGGGTTTCAGTGTTTATTATTTTAAGACAATATAGAAATCGATTTTTTACCGACTAATTACACAATTTACATTCTAATGATGTTAAACCCTTCATGATAACTAATAAAAAGCTATTTCTTTTGGAAAGCTATTGTTTCCAAGTTCTCAGGGGATAGTTTTGTCCATAAGATGAAGAATAAAAATTATATACTGTCATAGTTTTTCAGTTTTTTCTTTCAACAATGTAGACTAACTACAAATTAGTGGGAGGTTGAGTCATCTAGCATAATAACCATTTAACTTGTAGTATTTTGTCAGAGATAAATAATAAGGATCATTTGATGTATTTCTGAATTGTTTTTTCTGAAATAATTGCCTATCACATGTCATTTACAAGTACGTGCAAAAGCAAATACGCGAGATGAATAAGGGCAATAGCACTTAAATGTTATATTAAGTATATAACAAAGTATGTAAATCTCAGAGGTCAAAATAATAAGAATAGTCCCATTGAACATCAATTACTAGGCAAATGACATGAGGTAGGTATGAGAAGTATATTACAACTGATCAATGAAGAGTATAATTCCACTCTGTTGAGATTCCCAACAACCATAACTATCATTATGCTAAATCTTGACCATTTCGCTTAAAATAAACCAGTGGTCTTGCTGACTACAGCAAACAATTGAAAACATTTCCTTATCTATTTTCAAGATGTCATTGTAGTTTAATAAGTTTGATTCAAAATAATTTTCAGTCCTGTTTCATTTTTGACACATAACAGCCTCTAAATTGAAATATTACTATTTCCTTTGTTATAAATAGATTTTCTTTTCATTTATGTTTTCTAATATTTCTTTAACTGATTTCTTCAGTCCGTTGTTAAAATTATCTGCATTATGTAAAAAGGGTAACTCTCCACAAAATATCGAATTCAATCAATCAACTTCGTAAATAATTTCTGTTTTGTTTTAATGATTGGAACAGTTTGTCATGTTTTAAATACAAAAGTTTTAAACATGTTTTTAAAAAAAGTTGAAAACAATCAAAGGAAACAGTTTTTCGTGTCACACTAATTGTTTTTGTAAACAAATAAAAAGGTTTATTATAACATTTGACAAACTGTTTGGATCTTATATCGATCAACAAAACTTAAGCTTATACGCTGTTAATGTTTTTTTTAAAAATTCAACTGTTCGAACAAACATTGGATAATCAAGAATAATCATTTCCTGGAGTTCTAGTGAGAAGCCATGATCAGTGCAGTTCAATCCGTATCAGGTATGAGACAGTTATCCACCTCAGACAATGGATGAAGGGTTGAGCACGATCATGGACTGTGGTCTAGAGGTAAAGCGTTCGCACGCGAGATCAAAGGACCTGGGTTTAAGTCCCTCGTGTGGGATTGTGAACGAAAAGGCTATTCAGTGCTTCTAGGTTTTCAATGGTGGTCTATCTTAGACTGATTTGTAAATTCAACTTTGAAGATATTGAATAGCTGACAAAATATTTGAGTATACAAACATAAGAATAATAATTATGATCTGTCTTATTTAAATAGTTATCTGAAATTGTATCAACTGAAAGAGATAAGCCAGCATGATCTTTGTCGATCTCAATCACCAAGCGTTAGATTCACTTTATACAACAGAAACATTATACATAACTGTGCGGTGATGATCTTTAGATTTTATTCATCTTCAATATTCCATATCTTTCAATTTAACCTTGATTACATCATATCTCTTTAGAGCTTTTGTTACCTTCTGATTCTATCGGATTATTCTCTCTACAACGAAACTTAGTATAGTATAATCAGGTCATTTCAAATATAATATCAGTAAAAAGACGATTTTTTTTCCTAGAACTAATGTAAGTTACTGATAAATTTCCTTTAGAATTTTAACATTTCCTAATGAAGACTTAATGAAATAGTCATTAAAATTTTTTACTTTTGTGAGTTAATTCATATCAAATCTAGTTTAAGTAGGTGTGAATCAAGCAGCGAAAAATCGTTTTTTAAAGTTCATCAAAATGGTAATACAGGTGTATTTGCTCTGGGTAAAACATGTCCAAGAATTTTCATATAATCGTTTTACTTACATTATTTCAACAAAAAAACACCAGTTAACAGAATTATTGGGGTGTTACTGTTAACCACTCCTTCATTGATAAAGTGCTTCAAGATAACCAATACTTATATTACGTAAATACAATGTAAAGGAGCGGAAAACAGTTATTCATAGTCTTATGAAAGCTAGTCAACATTACCTTCAAACGTTAAAACTGAATAATATGTGGCATGATATAAGAAAATCTAGTCAACCTTTATGTTATCTTACTTATATTGTGACGGGTAAACACGATAAAATTCTAAAAAGTGAAGAGAATAATTTGCAACGATAAAATGTGCATATTGTCCTTAACTTCCATTATTTTTCATTGACGCAACACACGTCTATTTCGTTATATAAACTATTAGGTGTTAACTAACTATAAATTAGTTTGAATAGTGTTATTAAATGACATTATCGTAAAGAAAACCTTGTTTAATTATCTTTTGTTTTCTTAGTGACGTATTAGTTGTTTTTGTCGATTATAAGTAGTTCATTTTATTCATTAATTAAATACTACTTGTGATATTTCTACAATTCACTTATCTTTCAACCGGATAAAAAGAAATGATGTCTTAACTCAATGTGCTAATTTTACCGATTGAGATAATGAACCCATTGACGTTAGACCACCGTTGGAAACCTGGAGGCACTGGACGGTCGTTTCGTCCTATTGTGGGACTCCTCAGCAGAGAGAATCCACGATCCTGTTCAAGGGATTAGGACCCAAGTCTTTCAGTCTCGTGCGTGAACGCTCAACCTACTGGACCATTGAGCCGGCATCCAATGGTGCTAATGTCTAACCTCAACCAATTTTGGTATAATAATTACTCAATAATATACTTGTTTTATTTTCAGTTCGATACTTTTTCGGATAACAATAAATTTATTACAGTGTACCGCTCACCTATGATAATATTCTTTGTATTAATTTTTTATGGACGTGGTTCAGTATAAAATATAACACTTGGTTTTATAGCACTTCTATGTATCGTCCCTATATGCATTATTTACTGGTTATTGTGTGTAAATTCGAAATAAATCTATTATCAAAAAGGGTAGACCTATTTTAGAGGATGAAATAGAACTTCTATATTAGTTTTGTTTCTTATTTTATCAGTGTACACCGAAGTGATTCGTTGCTTAAAATAATGTGCACTGATTTCCTAAGTCCAAGTATCAGCAGCTTCTGTGGCCATTAAATTTTAGTAGCATGGCAACTAGTAATCATGAAACATATCATTTGTTAAGAGGAAAGATATTATTTTCATCAAAAGAGCTTGTTATATCACTTGAAAAGTTTACCGATAAAGAATATACCAAATGTAGTAGACTTACTATTATTCTGTGGGAAGTATTGTGATATTCAGTTTTTAGTTACAGTTCTTGAAAGGAGTATGGAATCTCTAACATATATCAAACTTTCTTATTAAATATTTTTCAGTTCTCTATTGATACTTGTTAGTAATAGTGACTTACTCAACAAATATATTTATTATCAGAAGAGGGTTTTGTGGAGATTTTAGTAGATTAATAGTTGAATTCATCAGTCAATTGAAGCTAGATCACCATAGAGTGGAGTTCAACCAGTTCTGTTGTGAGATAGTAACTCACTAAAGATAATGGTGGACGATGGTGCAATTTCGTGAATTGGTTGAAGTTAGACATTACCACTGTCAGATACCGACTCAGTGGTCTAGAGGCTAAGGGTTCGCGCGCCAGACCAACAGGTCCTGAATTCGAATCCCGCGAACAGGATCGTGGATTCCCATATGCTGAGGAGTCCTATACTAGGACGAAACGGTCGTCCGGCGCTTTCAGTTTTTCTGTGGTGGTCCAGCTTCACTTGACTTAAATTTATTTATTTTGTTAAAGATAATTGAACACGTTTAAATTATATCACTATCGGAGTCGAAATGTTCTCAGTTAATTATTTATTTTAATGGATTAATTTTAAAATTAGCTCATTCTATTAACTTATATGACCTGATTATATTTGTAGTTATCTATTTAATTATATTATTAAATTAATTTAGGTTTAAAATATCCTAACTATTATTAGTAATTTCATTTCTAATTATTATCTTTACTAAAGTCATTACAACTTCTCGTATTATTATTATTACTATTATTAAAAAAATAGTAATAAAAAGTAGTATAAATGATAAAGTAGTATATTCAAGTGATCATATATGAAAAATATTATATCTTTACCAATTATTACTGAAATGTTGATTAGTTTTTTAGTTGACCGATAATAGTTAAACAACATGATATGAATACTTTAAATAATATTAGTGGTGATGATTATGTCAGTTTTGTTTTAATCACATGCAAAATGTGAACTTCACCATTAATATTATTATTATCTTATTGAAATTTTGTTATCTTTGTTCAATGTTGACCTCCTTTTCTTTGATAATTCAGCTCACTTTTATTTAGTTTGATATTAGAAAAACTGTGATATACTTCAAGTGAACTGACATAACTTACCTAATTGAAAAATAAAATGTAAATTTTTAGAAATAATTAGTTTTATTATGATATTAATAACCTTTTGTTAAATGATGATGATGATGATGATGATTAAATTGGAATAAAATGGAAGTCTTGATAGAGGTGTAGGAATAATACTTTGAAAATAGAAGTTCATTTATAATTAGAAGAATGAACAATAAAAAAATGTAATGGGTTTTTCACAATATTTTAATCGTTTAAAGATCCCTATCATGTTAAAAGTCTAGTATTTGAACGAAGAATATTCTTTTCGAGAAATTCTCTTCAAGTTCTACAATTATATATCCGAAGAATAGCCAGGTTAAAGGCAAAGTACATCGTTTAAAGCATGTGAATTTAGGATTGTTAAACAAATTACAGTAAAATTGTTAATGTTGATAAGACTCAAATAGAATGGTAACTTGAATCTGCATATATGTTAAGTGAAATTTTAAGATCCATGACAAGAATAAATAAGAGTCAAATAGGGTGAGAGAGAAATAATAGTGCAATTATAATTCGGTCAAATGTTTAGTAGAAGACTATATTGTGTGAAAAATTAGTAAGACGTAATGCGAAGTGAATGAAACATGTATAGGGGAGACTAAAAATGATGTTTAACCAATAATAATAATAATAATAATAATACAAGGATTTGTGAATAAAGACAACAGAGACAATTACATTTGACTACTAAAGGTCGTAAGTACATTAGTCAAATCAGGTCATTCAATAGCTAACATTATACAAGATGGATCATATAGTTTCTAGACATATATTTATCTTTTCGATTTACTAATTGGCATGATAAATGATTTCAATCTGTAAAAATTTCTTAAATCTCCACAAACCCCTTCTGAAAAATAAACTTATATCCTTTTTGACTCAATTCTTACAGAATAAATCCGTTAAATAAATATATCTTACAGTCACGATTTCATTACATACTAGTCATTGCATTTCTAACTTATGATGGTTTGAAGTAAGTCATCATTGGTCGAGATATGATTTGCTTTTTTTAAAATTGTAGATATCGAAAGGCTCCACTGAAATCATTCCTAACAAGAGCAATCTACTATTTAAGATTCATATAATTTTGTTTATTTTATGCTTATTTACAATACATGAGGAGTTAACTTCTTTTATCTCAGCTTCGATTAAGCATTTTAAACTTACGTTTTAATCTTGATTTTATTTGTTAATTTGGTTAAAGGGATTTCAGAAACGAATGTGTTTTAACCAAACATTTACCCAAAATAGGTTTATCTTAAATCTAATTTAACAGATTTTCAATCAAATGAAACACTCCAACTTGCATTTGGCATACGCTGGCTACTTCCTCATTGAACATAATTAATTTATCACCACGTAATAATAAACAGAATTTTATATTGTCATTTACAACTAATCACAGATCCATTAACCTACAGCATAATTTTTTTTTGGATTTTCCACTTGTTAATGATAATAATGAGCAACTTATACTAAATAGTCAGTAAAAATATCTACGGTAAAGGCGAAATGGGTGGTCAGGACTAAAAAATGTAGTAAAGTGAAAACAAAAAACCGTAAACACACACAATCGGCTGTTAAATTATAGCTACAGTAAAAAATTATCCGTTTATTACCATATAATATTGATTTTAAACAGTGCAAATTAATGCACAATAAGCCTATTCAGGCACATTTATGAAAAGTTCACGACCTTCTGCTGTACAAGTTACAAAAGAAGCAATATGCATTGAAAAGGATAAACATTATTCAGATGTCGATTCCTGAACTGCTAACAACTAACTGGCAATTACTGATTATTTATGGCCAAGATCGATTAAGAAATAAGAAAAGGAAATGCATTGAATTCTATATTGTACCAAAAATGTTATATTAAATAAAGCCATTAATAATAATAAACGTACATTATGCAGGCACCTATGTGGAGACGAAGAAATATTACTATTTAAATAAAAGAAACATAAGTTATCATAACTTCCCATTGAGTTTAAATAATTAAGATTTGTAATCGATTTCATCTAAAATAGGCTGGACATTTTCATATTAAATTTCAAGCAATTCAACACTAAGAATATAATTTAGAAGACAAGTAAAACCGGCTGAGTTGAACTAAACTATAAAACAAAGATTAATTAGGCAGTGTCGTTCTCTCTGTAAGACCTATATGTTCAAGGTTTAACTACGAATTAGGCATTACGTGCATACTGTTGAAGAGTATTAACCTAAAACTGAACGGCTGTTTAATAATTGGTAGTTCTCCAATTAACCACTATCCGGGAAATAAATTGACTTCAAATTGATCCGTAAGCACTTTTTAAAGGATCACTTTAGCTTAACTAATTATAACCAAGTTCAGGTTTTTATTTCTAAATAATAATTGTTTGAGGGTATCTCTCTTCACTAATTTAACTCAGATTTATTATGACAGTCCTTCTAGAAAACATGAAAGAAAAACTACAGTTTACTATGATTATATACAGAAAATATTCATATGAAACGTAGTATATAAAGTGTATCAAACAAAAAATACCGCTTTGTAATAAAATATATGTGTTATACAGTGAAATATGTTCCATGTCATTGAATTCTAAGTAATTTGATAAATAACTACATAATTGTTATCAACACATGATGAGAACTAAGTCCACGTTTGATCAAATCTCTACGACTTACTTAACAAAAGAATAATCAGTGTTTTTAATTTTCCTCTGGTTTTAAATCAACGAACCCAACATCAATCAATCGCTACTTGATGGACAAACTATGGAAGGGGTGGAAACCCGTACATATATGAGGGTCATTATTGATAAAGAAGGAGGATCTGGCGGAGATATGAAAGCACGGATGCGCAAAGCAAGAGTAGCATTCCTTCAACTGTAAAATTTCAGAAACTCAAAAGAAATGTTCACCAAGACCGAATTCAAAATTTTCAACACCAACATCAAAAGGAGCTGAAAATTAGAGTACTATCATCATCTTCATCATCACCATCAGAAAGGTACAAGTACTTATAAGTATCTGTCTACACAACAGTCTAGTTAGGCAAAAATCCAATCAACTTGTAGTGTAAGAGGAAATTAAAAAAAAACAGTGATGGTACATGGGACACAGCATACTTCACAAGGTAAGGTTATGAGAGAGTTAGTTTGAAATCCTTGATCGGTTGTCTACGTCTTTAGAGAGATAACAAACTCAACTAAGTAATTTGCAAATCTAACTAATAATAGGTAACATTTTAAGAAATAATTGTTATGTCATAACATATATAAAATCTGATAAGTAACATCTTGTCTTTAAATGTTCTGGAGAAATGGAATTTTTCACTTAATAGTTTTCTGTATTTGACATCTCTGTGAAGTTTACAAAAAATATATGATTGATAGTTTTATAATTATATACTAGATTTAGATTCCTTTGCAGAAGTTAGTCCATATATACATATATAACAGTAGATATGCTTATATGTTTCGTTTTTTCTGTCAGTTAAATGCTCATTAACAAATACGTAGAAATTTCTCTATCACATATTTTATCTAAAACTTTTTAAGTCTCCAGCTTCAAATTGTTTTATGTTCATATTATAGTTAGAAAGGAAGTAATTATCATCAGTTAATTAGTTAATTAATTCATATTTTGTACTTGTTTTCACTGTTAACAAGTGATTATGGATTATGAATTTTATAGAAAGTATTTTGTAACAACAACAAGATATAAGATAGTTAGTGTCAACCAATCATTGGTTGATACATTAATTAATTGATCAACAGCATAGATCTCTGGTCCAATGCGATGTCCATTTATCATGTTTGTTAGCGAAACTACAAACAAAACTGATTATGAACTATAGTATATTAGTAACATTTTTACTATGTATCTTGTAGTTTTACCTAAACATTATATAACCCACCGAGTTACAACGAGCACAAAGATGTATTTTAGGCTTCTATTAATAGTGAATAAACATAGTAGTATGAAAATATTTGTTTAATTTAAGACTTCTCTGTATAGGAGACCACAAAACTATTGTGTTCTAACTATCAGAGTAATTAGCGAAAGTTAATTTACTTGTCTCAAACAAAACAAATCAGTGCTTTTCTAACATCCTATCCTTCTAAATGGTGAATACTACTAAAATCATATTTTAGTAATCTATACAAACTATGAAAGTAAATAAACTCCTCTAGCCATTTAACTGCAGAAATAATGTTAACACAATTTATCTATATATTTTCTAAAGTAACTAAACCTATGGATATTATATGATTAGTTTTAACATGTGTACTTGTAAAGCTTAAAGCTATATTTAAACACATAAATAAACCTACAGTAAATACCTAAATTGTATCTTCATCCTCTAGTTTGTCCGATGGTCAAAGTTCAAGTATTTTACGAGTTACGATATTAAAGTTTTCAGTATTTAGATGTAAGAATATACTCTACTCTATTTTATTCCCTCTATTTTACATCCGACAACTAATTTCTACACTATTTGATCATATATCTTGTTTAAGCCAATTGAATTCTTCAAGACAGAAATAACTTTCTGAAAGATTTCAAACAGTTACTAACATAGAGAACACATTAATGAAGAAAGTTTATTATGATTAACTTAAATCAATAAATACCATTTAAAATGGTATCATAATTTTAATTTACTTCATGGATTGAATTTGTTGAATATTGAGGATTCAATAGTGCTATGTTACATTACTTATTCATTGAATTCTAATTCACATAATGATGAAACATTTCAACTTCGTTTAAGTAATAAATGATTCCCTAAAGCCCTAATAGATGATTTTTAAAGTTCAAATATCATTCATTACAATAAATATCCAAACGTTTATATATCAGATTAAAGTATGTGGGATTTTATAAAAGATACATTATTGTTATTTACTATCTTAGAATTCTTAAGTTTATTAAACCTGAACATATAGCTCCTAAGAGAATCATAAAGTCTTACGAAAATAACTGGATATATCCATCCATGGAATTTCGTTAACATATATATATATATATATATATGTTTGACTTATAATTAAAACATTAATGACTTCCTTTTTTAAAGCGTATATTGATAAGATAAACATAAAAAATCATTAACAACTACTATCCTTAACATAAATACATAATTATATAAGTAGTAATCTTGTAAGAATTCGATTCGGGTAAAATGAAATAATAATAAAAACTTTTTTCTGAAAAAGTTAACGAGAGTCGGATTTCCTGTCCTCTGATGTATTCTAACTGTGATATATGAAATAACAAAGGTGATGAAAATAAAATTCAAATATGTTTTAGGGTAAATAAAAAAAAAGAGGAAAAGCGTTTAACACGTTTATTCTCTTGTTTTTGTATATCTATTGTTTCTCTTTATTGATATAGGGTATAAGAGTAATAGAATATAGTGTCATTGAAAGTCAATTCAATACAACTCTCTTGTTGAATAAACCAAGTCTTAGAATAGATTTAGAAAAAAGCCTTAACTCTTGAAGGAAAAAGAGATAATAGAAGAATACATAAAGTTATGAAAATAATTTTATATTGAAAACTGACTTCAATTATAGAACTATTGGGATCAGAAGATAATGAACAGCTTTACTATCATTGTTTGAGATAGTTAAGTTGTACACAAATTCAAATCGATATGAATCAAATCAAAACTCTGACTTAAATTTGTAAAAATCAACACTAAAATATTTGTCAGTATGAAAAAAAACGTTTTGTTCAATAATTAAATGGACGTTAACAATTACAAAGAAAGTTTAAAAACGGAAGCTTCCATTAAACATTGATTTAACTTGTTTTTCTAAAGCTGATATAGTGATCATAGAAACTGGTTGTGTTTCTATTTATTTATACTACAAAAGACCACATTTCATTAAATAAAGTATAGTATAAACTCAAAAACAAAAACAACGTTGTATCTGCCAAAAATGAGCGTAGACTCATTGAGCCTGATTTCATATCGGGAGAGAACAAAGATACAAACAAAAGAAACAAATCATTAGTGAATTAAGAGTGAACTAACATATAAAAGTACATAGAAGGGAATACTGTAGACTAAAATGGCCTTATAACGTAACTAGACTAGGTGCAGTTTGCACATAAGTTAAGTTCCTAAACTACCCATTACCAGCTCATAACGATCATTTGCCATTTGGAAAAGACAGATTAATTCAACAAAATACGTATAAATGTATATGTCATAATGAAGTGACTGAGAATAACATACCTTCCTTCAAGTTGTATGGTAAATCATAGCGAGAGTAATCATATCGTGAATTACGTCCATACTCTTGAATATCTTCACGATTACCACCAATACCAAAATCATTTTTAGACCAATAAACTTGTACACCTGCTCCTGTGTCTGGATCTATCAGCATACGTACACGACATTGCAACCGTACTGTACTATTGAGTGTAACTGATTGACTTTCAGGATGCAGCTGTATCAAATTTGTTGATGTTAAATAATCTGACTGACATGTTATGTAATGAAAATCTAAATTAAGAAATAAACAAGAATAAAAATTTTTTGATTTTTTTGAAAACAATTCATTATATCAATTAGTAACTGAATAAAGCACGACCAAATATTTACTGCATGAACGATGGTTGAAGAAGTTAAGGTATTGATCAAGTATTTTTTTAGATAAGTAATTAAAAATATAGTCATTCAGCGACAACGTAGAACTTCGTATGTTCAAGTTACCATACAACATTACCACACAGATACAATTGTCGATTCAAATCCCATAGTGGTAGAGGTAGTAAGAGTATAAGCAGTAATCGGAAAGATTAGGGTTTGAAGATGTTATTCAAGGAGTATAATCTAGTGAAATAACTTTGGAAAGAGAAAAAAAAGGGACAAGGAGAATTCAGAAGACTAGAATTTGGGAAAACAAAAAGGGTGGATGTACCTGCGCCATTGCAAACGATTTTGATCCATATCATTTAAGGTCTCTAACCATCGGCTGCTATCATCTCGCGGTCCCCAACCAGGTAGTCTACACCTACCAACATGGTTCAGTCCACTTGTCAGTGAATTCATGGATTTCTGCTATGTTTTGGTCTGGCTGCCCCTAGATTTCTTCCAACCTACTCTTACACCGTGAAACATCTCACGTCGGGACAGCCGATGTTTAGGCATACGTAACACATGTTCCAGCCATCTCAACTGATGAAGTTTCATTACTCCATCAATTGATTTGCCATCCTTACCTAATGCCCGTTTCCTAACGACTGCATGAGTTACTCGGCGGTCCCACGGTATACGAGCAATGCTTCGAAGACACCTATGATCGAATACTAGTAAACTACGAATAACCTCTACCTTTACCGGTCACGTTTCACTACCATAAAGTAGGACGGAACGAACTGCATTGGTCCTTTGGTTGGTAGACGGATATCTCGTCTACGCTATAAATGACGCAAGTTGGCAAAAGCTGGTCGGACATTCTGTATCCATACTGAGGTTTCGTCACACACCAGACCACAAGGGTTGATGAGACTTCCTAGATAAGCGAAATAGTCAACACGCTCGTCTACTTCACTCCCTATCATTAGTACAAGTGTTATTCATTGCTCAATTTCAGCTTAACCACTAAATCTTGTTTTCTTATAAGTACGTAACTTTTTGTTTTAAACAATTTAGTGGCATTATAGTTGACTGTTGAAATAAATTATGATCCGTTTATATGTACGTTTATCATCCTCAACAGTAGCATAGTTGTTATCAAAAGAACGCGTACATCTTGTAAATTATTAACTTTTATAGGTAAAATTTAAATCATACTTTTCAACTTAATGAATGATCTCTAGACACTCATCCGGCAAGATATCATACTTCATTATGTAGAATAATGAATACTTAGAAGCAGTCAGGAAAATAAGCTGGATTTCGATACTAATAATTGTTAAGATATAAACAGACATAGATCATTACTAACTCTATATTTGAACCAAATATTCGTTTTCTTATTTCATATGGATAAGACCCATTGAACTGTTTAAGGATCAATTATTAAATAAAATATTAATATTTTCAAACCCCACTGATAAATTAAATCTACATAGAAATTCAATGGTTAAGATCATGAGTCAGTTGAAGCTAGACCACCATGGAAAACCTGGGAGCACTGGATAGCCGTCTCGTCCTATTGTGGGACACCTCAGCAGTGCGCACTCACGACCTCGCCTCTGCGAGATTCGAACACGACCTACTGGTTTCGTGCTCGAGCACTTAACCACTAGACTACTGAGCCGGCATCCAACGGTGTTAATGTCTAGCATCAACTAATCCGTGAAATTGAGCTACACATCCACCATTGTCATCAGTGAGTTACTATCTCACAACAGCTCTGGTTGAACTCCACATGGATTTTTTAAAAATATCTTCAAATCAACCAATAAGTGAATATTATATTAAATTACTTTTACCATTACCTAAATTTTCAAAAAAAATTAAATGGCGTCATTTTAGTTTTTAATATGTCGCATAATGTGATTAATAATATAAGACATCCAGACAGTGGATAATTAATTCCATAGAACATTTGTTTATATTCTGTGAAATATATGTAATTTGCTGAATCAAACATTGGGTATCAATTATCAGACTATCAATTTATAGTGGTAATTGAAATGATTATATTAAGAGATTTATTATGTCGTCTATATA